TAAAAGCCAAACAACCACCCATTACATGATCATCCAACACATAATAAAAATTAATTTGGTAAAAAATAAATAAAGTAAATGTCTAAAAGATTTATCAATTTTACATAATTTTATTTTTGGTGGGTAGAAATTATTTTTAAAAATTTTAAAATATTTTTTTGACATTTATTTTTGTCAAATTAATTTATATTTTATCAAATTGATCACTTTGCCCTTGAAATTGAGCAATGGTATCTTCAATTGTCCTTATTTGAAACAAAATTAAAAAATGAAGGTCAAATATGTCACAATTGAAAAATCAGGAACCAAAGTGACACGAGTTTCAAACTATAAGGACTATTAGTGTAATTCACCAAAATTTAAATTACATATAAGTTAGTTCTCCAAGTTAAAATCTTACATCCATTTTTAACGTTCCACCACAACTTGACTGTCGACACCATCACCACATCCATTTTTAACCTTCCACCACAATTTCACGGTCGACACCATCACCACCACTAATACTATCTTTACTTATGGTTGAAAATGAGTCCTGTCGAGTCGAGTTGTAGTATGTTTAAGTTTATTTATTAAGATTTTAATGAGTTTGAATTTGAACTCAAGCTTAATAAAAATTTGACGAATCGAACTCGAGCTGTGTTGACTTGAACTTTACTTGAATTTGAGTCTGTTCACGAGTTTTAATGAAGCAAAAAAATTGTAAATTCATACTTGTGTAAGAGACTAAAGTTACAATTAAAATTTTGATTATGCAATTATATATACAATATATATAAACATACTTAAAGAAAAGTTAATATCTTACTAAAATAATAATATCTACCACCACTATTACATAGTTAGCTATTATTTACATATAAATAAATTGAGCTATTATTTACATTTACATTTACATTATTTAAAGTTATAAATAACATACTTATCCTATTTTTTATACATGTTTTTACGTTATTTAATATATAAATAATATATTTATTTTACTATTTAAATAAATATTAAACAAGCCTAACTAACGAGTCAGCTTTTAGTATGTTTGAACATATTTATTAAGATTTTAACGAGTTCAAACTCGAACGCAATAAAAATTTAACAAGCTAAATTCGAACGAGCTCTTATCTAATCAAGCTTAAATTTGTTGACGAAACGACTATATTTATTTGTAACCCTACCTCGATTACACCTCTTCCCTTTACCACTACCATCATCATCTATACCTACATTGCTACTATCACTATTATCCCATTTCCATTTGGCATGAAAGTTTGAGTTGGGTTGGGTTGGGGCTATTTTAGCCAAGAAAATACAAAATAGACTTTTTAATTCAATAAGACAAAATATCACATCTAAAGCATAATCATTTTATTTTTTCTCTCATAAAAGTAAAGAAAAACTAAAAAGTTTATCTCAAATGAGGCCTTTTAACCCTAAGTTAAAAAAATAAAAAAAATAATCAAAAATTAAAAAGTCAAAAAGCCAACATACATCCCAAACAAATGCAAAATAAATGAATTGGTCAAATTTTTTATCTAACAGGTACATAATTCTACCAAATTCTACCAAATCTATTAATTAAATGAACTAGTTTGAGGTACAGAATTATACCAAATTCTACCAAATCTATTTATTAAATGAACTAGTTTGAGTTGAATTGTTTTGATACAAAACTGATTTTAACAGCTTAAACTTGTTGGTTTGCCACATCTAGCATTGTTTAACATCACAGCTTTATTGATGAAATGCAAATTAAAAGGGCTAACTAGTGTTATCTAGCTGTAACTAGTGCTATAATTTGAGGGTTGCTTGCCTAATCTGCCGGCCAGTGTGGCCCCCATGGCTGATGTCAAACATCTAGTAGTTAGTTTTAGGGGGCTCACAAGCCTTCAAAAGCTGACTCTAATCCAGGTTTCCGTTACAAAAAAATAATAATAACACTAATCCGTTTATTTGATTTTAATTTTTTGAATTTAATTTTTTAAAAATTGAGTTTTTATTTTTCATATTTTTTTTATTTTTAATAAATATTTTTAAAATTTTAAATATTTTTTATTTTTTTAAATACAAGTTTAAAAATAAAAAAATTATAAAAAAATATTTTAAAAAATTAATAAATACATAAAAATATACTACATTCTTGTATTTTTTTATATTTTTGGTATTTAGTAAATTTTTAAAAAAAAAAATTTACAATTATTTTACTTTTAAGGTGTATTATTAAAAAAAAAACTCGTTGAAAACATTAAAATATGCAAAATAAAAAATTATAATTTTTGAAAGCTGTTTTCTGAAAACCAAAATCAAACAAGCTGTTTGAATCTTATAATAAAATAAATTATAAAATTTTCATTTTATTAATTTTAATTTTAATTTTTTTAATTTGTTTTCAATATAAATTATTTATATATTTTCGTTAAGTGAAATTGTTGGGAAATGTGTATTTTAGTCATTAAATTCAATAAATACATATATTTTAGACATTTTTTGTACACTTACATAGAGTTTAATAATTAAAATATATATTTTCAAATAATTACTTAACGAAAATAAAAAATGAGTTATAATAAAAATAAATTAAAAGATTAGGGTTTAAATTTATAAAAATTTAAAATTTAAGATTTATTTTGTTACAAGATTTTTTTTTTTTTTTTGTAATTTCCTCATTGTTTTTTCAAGTAGATTTTTTTTTTAATTTTTTAATTGTTTGTAGTTTATATTTTATAATTTAAAGAAAAAATCATTTTTAGGTTCTTGTAAGCACACTGACTTATAAATGGAAAAAAAAAAAAAAACAAACAAACAAATCCTAGGGTTTGAGTTTTGTGATAAGATAAATATTATCAATTTAAAATTTAATATTTTAATTTATTTTCAATCTAAACCATTTATCTATTTTCATGAAGAAAAATTAATAAAAAAAATAGTCATTAAGATCGATATAAGGATACATAAAATATGTAAAATACTATTTTTTTATTGATTTTATTAACTAACATACTAATTTTCCATTGATGTTCTTAATAAAAATAGATAAATGGTTTAAATTGAAAAAAAAAAATTATAGTTTTGGTTGATAAAATAAAAATTTGGAGCTTATCTTGTTAGAAGGCTCAAATCTTACGATTTTGTTTTTTTAATTTTTCCTAAATTTTTTTAGAAAAATAAAATAAGAAATTTGAAAATAGTCTACTACAATATAATTTCTATTTTTGTTGTCAGATTTTCAGATTTTTTCAATTTTCTTTTCTTTGAAATTATTTTAGACTAGATGAATTGAAAATTAACACAATTCTAATTCCGTCTACTACAAACTTTAACACAATTTTTATAATAAAAAAAAAAAACATTTTAAAAAAAATTGATTTTTAAGTATTGAACACATATTACAACCTACTAATACAGTGATATATACCAATAAGTATGTATCTATTCTATTATATATATGAGAACTTAGATTGGTGTTTTCAAATTTTGTATCTATTTATGTCAAGTATCCAATTAAAAATAAAATAAAATTAGATAACATGACGGGACAAAACTTGAATTTAAGACCACAAAGTTAGTAAGAAAAACTATTACTAAGTGAGGTTACAATCAATATATATTAAATATTTTATTTTATTTTTATTTATTTAATTTTACACATAGTTTGATTTTTGTAATCAAACAATTTTCTCTCATTTTCTTTATTTCTTTTATATTTTGTTTGTTATTAAGTACACAAATAAAATTAATTAATTACAGTGAAGATTGTCCGATATATTCTTGTTGTTGATAGTGCTAATTTTACGGGCAAATTGCACTCTCCTTCCAAACTTAATCAAGGGGGTGAATGTAATTTACTCTAATTTTATTGTTGTTGGTGCATGTGCTACTCTTCGGGACTTCACTTTTTTAAATATATATATATATATAAAGAAAATATTTTAAATAAGAAAATTTATAAAAATATTATTCAAAGTAAAATGTTAATGACATTTTTAAAATTATGAGAACAATAATAGTTATTTTGATTTAAAATAAAGAGACTATGATAAGTCATATTATTATCTATGAAAATTTTAATATAACGGTGATGTCTATCATTATTGACATGCAAACAATAATTAATTTCAATGAAGATATGAAATTTATTGGATTATTAGTTATATTTGACATGAGGAGTTTATCTTCTATGTGTTTCTTTCCATTCATAACTAAAATGACCACTATATAAATTATAATCAAGTAACACATCTTCAATTATAAAAAATAAAATAAAATAAAAATTGTAATAGGTCATAATTAATATTAGAATGTGTCACAACTAACTATTACTTGATATATAGTCATAACGAAAATAACAACCACAAGAAGTTATAACTAAATTATATCTAATATTATAATGTGTTATAACTAAAGACCACGAATATCATAATTGCAACATATGATAGACACTTTTTTGCAGTATGTTTTATAGAATTTATCTACTAAAATATATCATTTCTATCTCAACTTATCTTCTTTTTAAATTTTTCAATCCACCTATGAAATAGTTACTCTTCAATATTTGTATAAAATTTAATCTCAAATCCTTTAATTTAAAATTCACATTTATCCAAATGAGCTCTTAACATTTAAGTTTAGTAATATCTCATTATTATTTATTATAAGAAAAATTAATATTATCATTAATTTGTGCACCTCTTCATCAAATTCTTGGCTACGCATCATAATATAATACCTGTAAATGGAAATGTCAACCTGTGAAGTCTTCTACCGACCCCCATTTGCCTTTGCATTTTCACTCTATATAAGTCCTATAATGTGCCAAGGATTTACCCATCTCTCTCTCTCTCTCTCTCTCTCTCTCTCTCTATCTCTCTCATACACACATACATTTTCCTCCAACATGTTTTCCTCAACATTCACCTCCTCTCTCTACCTTCTTTCCTTCACTCTTCTTATCCAAATTGTCATTGGAGTCAAGATACGCTACGTATCGGCCGATATGTATCGGAAAAATGGGGTGCCGCGACGGATATAGGTCGGTATACCGCTGAGATTGAAAATTGCAGGAGTATCGGCCGAGTCCCGGTACGTATCGGCCTGTAACCGTTACACAAGTCGTTACACAAGCCGCGACGGGCCGATACTCACCGGTTCGGACCGGTGCGGGAAAGAAAAAGCTGAAAAACCTGTAAAATGATTTTTAAAATTTCACTGCCGCGACACCCGATTCCCGATACGTACCGATCGATACTACCGATACCGATACTCCGTGATCGATACCGTTACGTTACTCGATACCGCGATTTAGAACCTTGCATGGTATTGTCCCACTGAGCCAACACCGAACCCTGTTCGAGGGGTTTTGAGGTAGAGATAGTGCATAAGCTTGTTCAAGTTTGATTCATAAGGGCTATTAGCAGTGAACTTTTCAGGACTTGAACAAAAATGGAAGAGAGGGCTGTTCAAGTCCTGAAAAGTTCACTGCTAATAGCCCTTATGAATCAAACTTGAACAAGCTTATGCGCTATCTCTACCTCAAAACCCCTCCAATAGGGTTTGGTGTTGGCTTAGTGGGACAATACCATGACATAGCCAACAGCCTCTCTCTCTGTCACGGTGATGTCAACTCCAAAGACTGCGCTGCCTGCGTTGTTGAAGCCAGTGGCGAGATTCGCAAACGCTGCCCATATAACAAAGGATCGGTCATATGGTATGACAACTGTCTCGTAAAATACTCAAACACCGATGTTTTCAGCAAAATTGATATTGGAAACAAGTTCTACTTGTGGAACGAGAGAAATGTGAGCAACCCTTTGTCATTCAACCAAAAAACCAAAAATTTGTTGAGGCAGCTATCTCAACAAGCTTATGTTGCACCAAAAATGTACGCTACTGGAGAGTTGAAGCTCAGATATTCAGAGAAACTCTATGGGTTGGTTCAATGCACTAGAGATCTTTCTAGTGTTGATTGTAAGAAGTGTCTTGATAGAATTATAAGTGAGCTTCCAAGTTGTTGTGATGGGCAAGAAGGTGGGAGAGTTGTTGGAGGGAGTTGTAACTTCAGATATGAGATTTATCCATTTGTGAATGTTTAGAGCATAGCATAGTCTGTGATATTTGTAGACACCCCATTTTTGATCGTCCTCAAGACTCAGTTGTGCTTGCAGGTACATCCGGACACTAGTTCGATTGCTCGCTGAGTACTCATAGAATTATAAGTGAGCTTCCAAGTTGTTGTGATGGGCAAGAAGGTGGGAGAGTTGTTGGAGGGAGTTGTAACTTCAGATATGAGATTTATCCATTTGTGAATGTTTAGAGCATAGCATAGTCTGTGATATTTGTAGACACCCCATTTTTGACCGTCCTCAAGACTCAGTTGTGCTTGCAGGTACATCCGGACACTAGTTCGATTGCTCGCTGAGTATTCGACTGTCGCGGCGGAACGTCACCAGTTCGAGCTTCCCGGACCTTGTATCCTTTCTGCCCCTTTCTTGGACCTTGGCTAGGTCCTCTCTTAGTGGACCTTTTGGTTCACTACCGGCCACGGCATGAAACTGTCGGCCATTGGTGATGCCCTGCCGGCCATCAGTGAGCCACTGCCAGCCATTGATGATGGCCGGCACCCCCCTGTCTCAGCTGGTTTTCCTCCAGATCTTTTGAGCCAGCTGGATTTTTGTTTGCTCCCCTCTATACACGTGTATGGAGGGATGAAGCCCTTGTAAAGCTTCTTGAAGAAGCTTTGGCTTTGCATTCCTCTATATAAGCAAGAGGCCTCCCTCTTTGCCAGGGGTTCTACAATTTTGAAGAGAAAAACCTCTCTTTCTCTCTATCTTGTTTGTGTTTTGTGCTTTGGAGTTGGATTTCCTTGCACTTTTACACTACAACACATAGATATACACCACCACCATTGGACTAAGCTTCTTGGGAGGGATTCTTGAGCTCTGAAAACTGGTTTCCACCCCCTGAAGTTGCTGGTTTCGAAGAGGGTCTTTAAGGGTGAGTATTTTCCCCATTTTTTTCACTTTCTTGTACCTCACTTTAGCCCTTCTTGCATATTGATTTAGGCTTTGCTTATAACTGAAAAAATTTAAGTGTTTTTTAAGTTTGGTTAAGGTCATTTTGCTGTTAGGGGTGTGTAACCCCCTTTACATGCTTTGTTTGGCTTTGTTTTAAGCCACTCCTTGAGGCCTCCAAGCTAGCCTTGGTTTGGCCTTCCCACCACTGAAATCCAGTGGATTTTCAGTGATAAAGGTGTGGTTTTGAGGTCCTTGATCAGAGGGGGTAGCCCCCTCTCTTTTGGTTCCTTTTTGCTTGTGTTTTTGGCCTTCCAAAGGACCATCCCTCTATGCATTTTTGAGGCTTGGTTCAGGCCTATTTTTGTGACTTCTAGGACCTGCCTTGGCTCTGTCCATGGATGGTTTGGTCATATCTTGCATGCATCTAGGATGTGTAATGTAATTCCATCCATAGTTCATCAAAGTAGCATATGTGCTTAGCTTGTGTTGAGTCCATTTTAGTAGGTTTTTGATGATGTTTTACCATGCCATGAACCTGTTTTGGGTTGGTTTTGTCATTCCACGCTTGCATGATGCACTTGTAATGTAAATCCCTTAAATTAGCTTCATATGCTCTATGCTTTGCCATGTTATGTTAGCTTGTTTGGTTTACATTTCAGCATGTATTTGGTCATCATTTGGCATGTCATGACCCTATCCATAGTTGGTTTGATCATCCTTCGCATGCTCCATATAGGTGTAGAACAAATCTTGTTTACTAGCCCTTTGTGCATGATGCTTTGACTCATCATCCTAGCATATTTTGGCTTTGCTCTAACATGATTTTATACTTATTTTGGGCTTCTCTAGGACTGTTTTGGGCGGCCATGGCCATATCACTCATGCTTTGTATAGCTAGAGTGTAAATGCTTAGGCTAGTCTTGGGTTTTGAGGCCCCTACAATGCCATACATCTAATGTTTGCATGCTTTGCCTTCATTCCACATGCTATTTCAGTCCATGAAATGTTGTTGTTCACTTGCATTTGACATGCTTTGAATGCTTTATAGAGCTTGTGCTTTATGCCTCATGAAGGGACTTTTGTGCATGCCACTTAGCCTAAGCCTTTGGCTCATCATTTCGGTGCATTTTGGGTGTTATTATACCATGATGTAACTCTGTTTTATGTTGTCCAAGTCTTGCCATGATTGGTTCCAATAGGTGTAGTGCATTGCCTCTTTAAAGCCTTGCATGCTCCATGTTTTTAGCATTGTGTTCTAGCCTATGTTGGCTAGCTTTGAGCTTAGTTTTGGTCTTGTTTAGACCTGCCCTAGGACTGTTTTAGGTTCTCTTGGCCCTTTGGGGCTTACCTTGCATGGCCATAGCTTAAGTCCCCTTGCTTTCTTTGAGCTTTGAGCATCATAACATGCTATGCTTGCATTGTTGAGTTGATTTGGCATCAATTTGCATGTATTTCAGAGCTTACCTCATTGTCATACATCCATGTTTGTTACTCCTTAAGTGTGCTTAGGAGTTGTCCTCTTTGTGCCTTAATACTTGAGCCATTTGGCATGCATGTTTGCCTTGTCTTTTCATGCTTTTCATGCCATCAATTCATCACTTATGGCTACTGATTTGGACCTAGTTGAGAGCTGTCCATCTTTAGTGTAAGCCCATCTTACCATGTTGTCGCATGCTTGTTTCATTTTGTATGTTGTTGCTTACTTGTTTAGCTTTACATGCCTTGCATGTTCACATGTTCATGTTGCATTTTGTCATGTTGTCCAAGGTTGTCACCTCACATCGTGCCTATGTGCTTGTTGCATGTCATTAGCCTTGTTAGGTTGTTCATATTGCATGTTTGCCATGCTTACGTGTTGCATTGATCGGATTAAGTGTTAATCCGAGCACGAGGAACGAGGGGCGTTTCATACTTCAAGTGATGGAACGTGTCTTAATTCTCGGTTGCCGAAGCTCTTGATGATTCATGATAGAGTTTTAGGCCTTAATTGCTTTATCTGTGCATTCATTTTCATATTGATTTGCACAAGTTGGATCTTTGGCCATCATGCATCGGGATGCGTGATTGATGGTCGTGGATCCGACTATGCCTCTCCCTTGATGTTTGAGGTGATTTGGAGTGGCATAGTGCGTACATGTCCTTGGGAGACCCTCCATTTTCTCTATTTTGTACTTTGTTGCAATTTGGTGTCACAGTACACCAGTGGCCAGCAGTGCATCACTGATGGCCGGCAGAGTATCATCCTTGGCTGACAGTGCTCTGTTTTTGGCCGGCAGCTCTCCCTCCATGGCCGGCAGGCCACTAGTGAACTCTCCAGCAGTGTTTTGGTAAGTCTCAGCAACAAGCATTGGAAGACACCCTGCAAACAGAGCCTCTAAAGAGCAACCGGAAGGCGTTTCAAGGCGAGGAACCAAAGCGAGCATGCATACCCTCCTCTTCTTCAAACAGAGCTGGAACAACATCGTTTACTGCTTTCCCTATTTATTTGTTGTCTTTCATTAGTTAGTTAATTAATTTGTTAATTAATTAAGTTGTGTAATAATTAGTTGTAGCTAGCTATTTATTTGGTTTTGTAATAATTATGTAATACGTGAGTTAGTTAATTAGGCTGGGCATGAAAAGCATGAAAAGACAAGGCAAACATGCATGCCAAATGGCTCAAGTATTAAGGCACAAAGAGGACAACTCCTAAGCACACTTAAGGAGTAACAAACATGGATGTATGACAATGAGGTAAGCTCTGAAATACATGCAAATTGATGCCAAATCAACTCAACAATGCAAGCATAGCATGTTATGATGCTCAAAGCTCAAAGAAAGCAAGGGGACTTAAGCTATGGCCATGCAAGGTAAGCCCCAAAGGGCCAAAGAACCTAAAACAGTCCTAGGGAGGTCTAAACAAGACCAAAACTAAGCTCAAAGCTAGCCAACATAGGCTAGAACACAATGCTAAAACATGGAGCATGCAAGGCTTTAAAGAGGCAATGCACTACACCTATTGGAACCAATCATGGCAAGACTTGGACAACATAAAACAGAGTTACATCATGGTATAATAACACCAAAATGCACCGAAATGATGAGCCAAAGGCTTAGGCTAAGTGGCATGCACAAAAGTCCCTTCATGAGGCATAAAGCACAAGCTCTATAAAGCATTCAAAGCATGTCAAATGCAAGTGAACAACAACATTTCATGGACTGAAATAGCATGTGGAATGAAGGCAAAGCATGCAAACATAGATGTATGGCATTGTAGGGCCTCAAAACCCAAGACTAGCCTAAGCATTTACACTCTAGCTATACAAAGCATGAGTGATATGGCCATGGCGCCGCCAAAACAGTCCTAGAGAAGCCCAAAATAAGATAAAATCATGTTAGAGCAAAGCCAAAATATGCTAGGATGATGAGTCAAAGCATCATGCACAAAGGGCTAGTAAACAAGATTTGTTCTACACCTATATGGAGCATGCGAAGGATGATCAAACCAACTATGGATAGGGTCATGACATGCCAAATGGAACCAAATACATGCTGAAGTAAACCAACAAGCTAAACATAACATGGCAAAGCATAGAGCATATGAAGCTAATTTAAGGGATTTACATTACAAGTGCATCATGCAAGCGTGAATGACAAAACCAACCCAAAACAGGTTCATGGCATGGTAAAACATCAAAAAACTACTAAAATGGACTAACACAAGCTAAGCACAATGCTACTTTGATGAACTATGGATGGAATTACATTACACATCCTAGATGCATGCAAATATGACCAAACCATCCATGGACAGAGCCAAGGCAGGTCCTAGAAGTCACAAAAATAGGCCTGAACCAAGCCTCAAAAATGCATAGAGGGATGTCCTTTGGAAGGCCAAAACACAGCAAAAAGAACATAAGACAAAAGCCAACTAAGGAAAGCGAGAGGGCTACCCCCTCTATCAAGGACCTCAAAACCACACCTTTATCACTGAAAATCCACTGATTTCAGTGGTGGGAAGGCCAAACCAAGGCTAGCTTGGAGGCCTCAAGGAGTGGCTTAAACAAAGCCAAACAAGCATGTAAAGGGGTTACACACCCCTAACA